GTGCCTTCTTCATCCTCCCTATATATTTGAAAAAGGACTTTTTATTATCCTTGATCTTGGAGGCTAGTCCTAGCTCTGTGTCTGCCTTAGCTTTCCTGACAGCCCCCCTACAGGCCCGAGCAGAGGCAGTATCTTTGGAGATAGCACCCCCCTTCCACAGGGCGCATGCTGCCTTTTTGGTAAGCAGGCATTCCCGGACGCCCTTGGTGAGCCAGGGGGGCTTTCGGGCACTCTTGCCCCCCTTGCTTCTTGTTGGGATGGACACCCCTTGGGATCTGAGTATCGTTTCCTTAAGGAAAGATATCAGAGATATCTCAAAGATATCATCATGGAATAAGGATTATAATTTCTAATTATATACTATTTGAGATGATATATTCATGTAACTTTTCTAAAAATGTTTGATAAATAGGTCACAACAGGCCATGGACTATATTAGCGGCCTAATTTTGTGGGGTTCCCAGAGGCTCCTCTATAGATTAGTAAAGGTTAAAGAAAAACACTCTACCCAATGGGACTCAGTGCTCAGTCTAGAAGATCCCATTAAGCATTTCGGTATTGCTTGGTTTCAGTTCTCAAACTGTGGATTTGTGTCTCCAGAGACAGCATCCTTGTTAACAGCAGTGCATGGAGATGAGATAACAGACCTGATTATCTACCCAGACCTGCCCTATTGCAAGTTTGTGTACACAGAGTCAAGTCCTTACCTCTCTTTAAAAGTGCAAAGTTTCAAGAAGTTAAATAGAGGATTGTTGGGGGAGGAGTCTAGACAAGGAGGAGGAGTCTGGACAAGGAGGAGGAGTCTGGAGATAAACGCATGGAGGGAAGGGCAGTAGAAACAAAAGAGAAATATTTTGAGCAGAGTATACCAGAAGTCTTAAGGGATAAGTTTCTGAGTATAGCCTCTCCATTGATTTGAGACTTAGGCAATGGTGTGATAGAAGGGAAAACCTGTCATGACAGCAGGCTTGCCAGGCCATAAGAGACCCTATTTGGGAAAATTTTAATGAAGGTTATATCAAACAATAAGAATGCACTTCTTGTAGAAAACAGTGATTAAATTGAGAATTCCTGACGAGTGATTTAAATTAGGGCAGGCAGTTATTTCAGCTGGAGGGCTGCTTAACAAATTTTAGTGAGTTGTTGAGGGTTGCATGGGTAGCCCCTTGACAGTTGCCCTGCCCCCTAGTTGCCATCTTGGGACTGTAAGTCCCGCCCCCCTACCCCCTGAACTTTGGCATCAGGTAGCATTTTTGAACTGGTAACATGAGCCTAAGGCTGTATTTGTGCTCCTTTTGTACTAAGACTTGAAAACATGCTTCTTGAAAGAGGAGGTCCCTAAACTGACATTGAGAATTTAGGGATGAGATAATATGTATACGAATATTTCCATACACTAAGTGATCTTTGAGATTTTTTTTCTTTGTTTTGAAAAATACAGAATAAAATAAATTTTGATGGTCTCTTGTTTCCATTTAAATTGGGGGGGGGAAATTGCCTGCCGCAGACTTTTTTTTCTGGATTAAGTCTCTGAAAATAATCTATTCCCGTTTCTAGAAAGCAATTGTCTTGTTTCAAATTATGCTTTTGGAAGAAGGATCCCTGAAAAAGTAGAATGTGTGTTTGGGTTCTAGTAAGGCATTTGACAGGATGATTACTTTGGACATATTTTATAATGCAAAAGTGGAAGTTTGGTGACTAAGTGTGGTTCCTACCTTCCAAAAATCCACCTTTGATTAGACCCAGCATGCTGATGAGTTTGAAGCCTTTGCATTGAAAAAGTGGGCCAAATGGTGGTTGTAAAACTAATAGAAAGGGAAGGATACAAAATTAACTTGAGGTTTTATGTCATATTTTTAAATGCTATTTTTCATGGAAAATGTGAAGCATAAACCCGTTAGTAGGTGAAAATGATGTTTGTTTCCTTTTGTCCTCTAAAAGGTTTTTTGTTCTCATGTTTAGAGTTGTGCACTTTGAAAACTCCTAAAGAGTACTCTTTTGAACTGGCGCTTTTGAAGATCTTTTGATATAAGACAGCTAGGTCAAACCTAAAAATCTGGATGTGAAACTGGTTTCTTTTAATTCTTGTAAGATATGGGTGTCAGAGATTCAGCTTGTGGGCCAGATCCAGCCTGCAGAGCTGTCATCCAGCCTTCAGTGCTGCCATGGCTCTTGGACTGCAGCATGTACTGGACTGGTGCTGTACATGGTGCTGTATGCCAGATGGGCCTTGCATGCTGGATTTGATATGCAAGACTGTTCTGCGGACCCATTCCTGCCTGTGAACCAGCCCCACACTACTCATCCATGCCTGCAGGGCCTGCTGAGTTTGGTGCACCTGTTACAAGAGAATGTCTACTTTGTATGCAGTGATGGTCCTGTGTGAAACACAGGGTCAGCAGTTCTGCAAAAGTGAATTAGTAAGGCCAAAACAATTCAAAACTGAATCACTTTATCTTCTGTGTAGATACAGGAACAAATTGCTTAGTTTAAGCTTTTGAAATCCAATAAGTAACAATGCAACTAATTTCATTTTTCTCTTTGCAGATTAGTTCTAATATTTTCAGGACACTTCCACCAAGTGATAATCCAGATTTTGATCCAGAAGAAGATGAGCCTACTCTTGAAGCCTCATGGCCTCACATACAGGTATGGGATTACTGTTTTTTCCATCTGATTTTGTCATGTAAAACAGAATGGAGTGAACACTTATGGATATTTTTTGTATGGCGAATATACTGTATCTTCATTTGTTTTCCTTTTCAGGTTTAGAAATGCAGTTGGATTATATTCACAGAATGATATGTATATATGTATGTATATTCAATTTGACACTTAAATGAAAAAAGTTAAATAAATACTCCTTTCCAAAATGCTAATGGGCGTGTCCAGACGAGCATGCACATGCCTCTTGCAGTGTCTCAAACCCCTTTGAGACACTGCAAAAAGCATGTGCAGGGCAAGCAGTGGTGCAGGCTGCAGCAACTGGGACCTGGGCTCTGTGCCAGATAAGTGGAGGGGGCTGGAGAAGGGGGAAGGAGACCATGGGGGGACTCCTGTCTGGCCCCATCCCACACTTGCTCCCAGCTCCCTGCTGGCTGCCCCACCCAGCCCCAGCAGTGGCCCTCGGGGCTCCTGGGAACTCATGGCAGACCCCCCCATATGGCACAGAGTAGCAGGGGCCAAGCCCTGGCCACCTGGCACCCGCACTGCCACTGTAGTGTGGCTCCCTGCACTATCTGGGAGCTGGGGCTGCTGGGACTGAGTGGTGCCAGGCTCTGGGTGACATGTGGAGCCACCCCAGCTCCCAGACAATGCACAGCACCCTGCCAAGTGATGCTGAACCTGCACCATGGGGCAGCTGCTGTGCGGGTGCCAGGTGGCCAGGGCCAGTCCTCACTGCCCCATGCTGTGCTGTGGGGAGCTCTGCCATGAGTCCCCAGTGGCCTCGATGGCCACCGCTACATCCAGTGAGTGCAGGGCTTTTTTTTGAGTGTCAGAAGGCTGGGGCCAGGTGGGGCAGAGATGGGGGTGGGGGTGAGGAGAGAGGGGGCTGGAGACGAGCCCCTGGAGATGAGCTGGAGACGTTCCCCTGCTTGTTTTCAGCCCCCTGCTCCTTCTCTTGCTCATTCTCCTGCTTGTCTCCAGCCTCAGGAGGCTGGAGACAGCAGAGGAATGAGCAGGAGGCTGGAGACGAGCGGGGGGCTGGAGCTGAGGGGGGGCAACAGGGGGGCTGGGGTCAGATGCAGGGGGCTCTATGGGGAGTGCTGTAGCCCCTGGGGGGCCTAGGACCCTGCAGGGGGGAGTCCATGTGCTGTGTGGAGGGACTTTGTGGTGGGCAGGGGACCCACCCTTTCTAAGCAGCACCCTGCCACACAGTCCTCCCACTTCTACCCACACACTGACCCCCCCCCCCCCCCC